GGTCAATGGGGAAAAAATAGGTGACATATCTAATACTTTCAACAATAATTTTTTTTTTAAAGCAATGTGGCCTGACCAGTGTGGTTCAGTGATTGAGCATCAATCCATGAACCAAGAGCTCACCAGTTGATTCCAGGTCAGGGCACATGCCTAGCTTGAAGGCTTGATCCCCGGTGAGGGGGTGTGCAGGAGGCAGCCAATCTGTGTTTCTCTCTCATTAATGTTTCCCTATCTCTTTTCCTTCCTCTCTCTCTAAAAATAAAACATTTTAAAAAAATCAATGTGGATTATTTGTGTCACAATAAAACCTCTCAGAAAAACATGAATTATGCCTGGCTGTATAATATGAAACTTCACATGTAGTAAGTGGTAATATTCCAGTGTGGCAGTCAAGGCTTAGTGGTCTGACCTTTTATTCAGGGTCATCTTCCATTTCTGTCCACTGCATTCTCTTACCCTTCACTTTGTTGACATTTTTTCCAAACCCATGCTTTCTTGGGTCTCCAAAGACCAGAATCACAGTTCACTCAGCTTGTCCTTCTGGGCTTCTAAAATTTTACTCTTATGTTTTATAAGAACAATTTCTATGAAGTCTTTCTGACCTCCCCTAGGAATTAAATACTCTGTCCACTGTCTTTTTTGTATATACCTCCATTAGAGATATATAAAGATCTTCAAGTAGACAAAGCAATCTGAAAACCCATACAGTGCCTTTTCACTTTGTATCCTCAGGGCCTGGCATATAGTTGACACTCAGTAAGAGGAAGGGGAAGATGTAGTTCCTGAACATCCTATATAGGTCTCCAGATACTGCAATGCTAAGGATTGATTGTCAGCCTTCAGTTGGTTGCCTTTTGCAAGTTAAATCATGGGGATGTTCATGAACATTAAGGTGCCTCGCGCCTAGGTGCCTAACAGGCTCCTCTCTTAGCTCACCCAGTAGCGGTGCAGGCCACTGCCAAGCCCACCAACGACATCATGGTGCATGTGATTCCAGACCAGCACTTTCACTGTACAAGTGAGCCATGTGTACTCTGCAGCCTGCACAGTATGGGCAAGATTGGTGGCGCGCAGAACAGAACCATTCCTACAGTCAGCTGCTGTGTGACCTGCTGGCCTAGAGCCCAGACATAAACTACTGGGACAAGAACAGCTCCACCTTTCCCTGAGGGCCACACCAACCCAACCCACCTGCAGCAGGCCCTGCAGCCCTCCACATTTTCCCACCCTGCTCCCAGGGACCCCCAGTGCCTGCTCCGAAGAAGTAAATGGTTTAGAGATTAATAATAATAATAATAATAAATCATTCTTCCTGATTTTGAAAACACTCTTTAGCTTTCATCAACTTCCCACATAGCAATCTGGTAACTGGGAACAGTTTACAAATTAAAATACAGATGATTGAAAACCTTCTTTTTATACCATCTTTGTAACATTCCTTCTCAGTAAGCTTTCAACTACAGCTAAGTGCAAAATAGACTGACTAACGTTTCTTTTACTTGTCCTGTCTACTCTAAGATAAAGGAGCTTGGGAAAAAAAGCAAGAGTCTCTGACAAGTTAAGTCCTAACAGTCTCAACAGATAGTGTTCTAAACCTTTATTCTAGCTCTCCAAACAAGAAAACAAAGTGTTTATGTTTTTATTGATTTTATTTCTTTAATATATTTTTATTGATTTCATTTTTTAAAAATATACTTTCATTGACTCCAGAGAGGGAGAGAGAGATAGAAACATCAATGCTAAGAGAGAGAATCATTGATTGGCTGCCTTCTGCACACAACCCACTGGGGATCAAGCCCTTAACTTGGGCATGTGCCCTGACTGGGAATTGAACCTTGACCTCCTGGTTCATAGGTCGACGCTCAACCACTGAGCCATCGCTGCCTGGCAAGCCTAGGTTTTTCACACATGCAGTCTAAAGTAATTTCCCCATGCTATGGTGTCTGTAGAAGCCGAATGAATCATCATACACATTCCTGTCTTTTTAGGGCCCTGGAAAGACAAGAAACAACAACAAAACTGTAACAAATCAGGTTATTTTCTGTTTGGGAAGCCCAGAACCTGTTCATGAGAAATCCGGGACTGGCTGTAGGTATTATTATTATTATTATCATCATCATCACCATTAGTTTCAATGACTCATTCTGTACCTGTGCTATGTCTTTGTTTCCTTATCTGAGAAGCACTGTGGCTCATCCCTGCCTAGACTGTACCTTATACTAGGAAGGCCTTTGTTCACTGTGGCAACCAGTCTGTGGCTCTGATGGTTTTCTGGAGGAGGAGGAAAGTCTGAGGGGGGAAAATGAGTTTTTATCTTAAGAGTTGGGAAGCATGGTCAAGAATACATTTTAGTTATTGTTGGAACTGAGCTCTGGCCCAACCTTCTAGAATATTTTCTTTTTTGAAGAGGGCTGTAAAAAGACAGGCCTGACTGTGCACCTACCTTGCTGATGGTCTCTGGAGCTTGGAGATCCTTTAGCAAATAAAAGCAGAGGTGATTTGAGGCCTGGTGGGGAAGAGGAAGAGAAATTGCTGAATGACTCGAAATTCCACAATCCGGTCTGCATCTTGACAGCTAAAGAAGCAGGCTCACTACCCCACCCTGCATTCCATCCAGCTCAGAGAGGAACCTGGTCCCCAAACTGAGCAACTAGAGGGCTTTTCTGAACATTTAAATCTGATCCCTAGGGACTCCAGCTTGAAACAAAGACATAATCAAAACATTTCCCTTACCCCAAATATCCAAACCCCTCAGGCTCCTCGGGGATCCAAAGCTCAGCTGACCTGGCAGAAAGCTTGTGCTTAATGCCAATTTACTGTTACCAGCTACCCCTCTCCAACCAGACCTCGGCATCCCAAGGATGACTGGGGTGCAGTAAAGAATTTTATAGTCTTTAACCAAAAATGAAGCAGTTTCCCTTTCTCTTTCCTCTCGTGAGAAAATTAACCCTGTGTCCCCTCCAGAGTCCAAAGTTGAGGAGAGGGTTACACTATTCCTAGCTTCCTGTATCCAGAAAAGAGGATGACCCCCAACAGGCTCAAACAGATCTGGAAAAAGGACCTGCCCTTAGCCGACATCCACAGTAGAAGCTGGAGGAAAGGTTTCCCCCTCCCACGCAACTGGAACCTGGGCTAACCTGGAGGCCCGAGTGCCGGGCTGGGGGAGGAGGACGGTGGATTCATAAACAAACCCGCCTGGGCCACGAGGTGCCCAGAAGGGAATGGGGTGGAGTTTGTTGGCCTCTTAGACCCAGCGAGATCTGGAAAACTGCTGTGGGCTGGGCTGGGCCTCTTATTTCCGGGGCTAGGGTGGACCATCTGGCTCTCCTCAACCACAAACCCCTCCTTCCTGCTTTGCCCTCCCTTGAGAAGCCAGCTGAGGTTCGTTGAGGCCTGACACCTGACTTTTCTACAGGGAGTTTTCTTTGTCCCCAGGGTGAGGGGGTGGTTCATGTGGGGGAAAGGCCCTGGAACATCATGTTAATTCCTTCTTGGGGTGACTTGGGAAAGGACAGGAGCTTCACAGACTTCTGCCCCCCAGAGGGGTTTTCCCTCAGCTTCCCTAACACGGATGCCTAACGTAGGGGTAACTTTTACCAAGGCCTTCCTTCTTTCTGCTCTCCCCGCCCCCCACCGCTTCAGGCGATCAGAGGTGCCTGCACAAAGGTCCCTGGAAGTCTTCCAGGAAGAGCTTACCTTAGTCACTCACTAGACTAGTAACTAACATCTGTAGATTTTGTAGCATATCTTTCTAACTGATTTAGGAAATAAATTAAGCCCTTGAGAAGTGTGCCCAATCAAGGTCTCAAGGCAGAGTTGGTGGGGCTCCCTGACATCAGTTCTACTCCAGCATTTCCCCAAGTATGAGGCACTTACCACTAGTGGAATTTGAACATTTCTGTATGTTCTTGTTAATCCTCACCCAAGGATATTTTTTCATTGATTTTTAGGGAGAGTGGAAGAGGGGGAAAGACAGAAACGATGATGTGAGAGAAACACATCAATTGGTTGCCTCCTGCACGAGCCCCAACCAGGGCTGGCCGGGTAGGACCCTGCAACCAAGTTACCTGCCCTTGATCAGAATCGAACCCAGGACCCTTTGGCCCGCAGGCCAATGCTCTATTCACTGAGCCAATCTGGCTAAGGCTCTGTGTGTTCTTTAAATGAATTTTAGAAGGAATTTGAACTACATATCAAACCTATCATTTCACAGATGTTATTGTTAGGATAAAAAAATTAATACTATGGAACACGGAAAACCTGATAACAGTAAAAATTATGAAGGTGGAGCCCTGGTCAGTGTGGCTCAGTTGGTTAGGCTTTATCCCATGCATTGAAAGTTTGCTGGTTCGATTCCCAGGTTTCCAGCTGGATCCTGGGCAGGGGATTCTCTCTCATCATTTGATGTTTCTATCTCTCTCTTCCTCTCCGTTCCTCTCTGAAACCAATAAAATTGTATTTAAAAAAATAAAACAGAAGAGGCAAAACAGCATAATCTTATTTTGAACAAACCAACTGTAAAAAGATATTTTGGGGACAGATGGGAAAATTCGCATATAGACTGGGTATTAGATGATATTAGGAATGATTATTAATTTGGAGGGGATGAAAATACTAGGGGATTATATAAGAACTTTTTAAAAAATCCTCACCTAAGGATGTTTTTATTGATTCAAGAGAGAGAGAGAGAGAGAGAGAGAGAGAGAGAGAAGATCGAACTCAAAAGCTAGGTATGTGCCCTGACTGGGAATCCAACCAGCAGCTTTTTGGTGTTTGGGAAGACGGTCCAACCAACTGAACCACCTGGCCAGAGCAGAACGTTTTTTAAAATTTCAGTCGCTCAGTGGTTGAGCATCGACCTATGAACCAGGAGGTCACAGTTAGATTCCTAGTCAGGGCACATGCTTGGGTTATGAGCTCAACCCCCGGTGGGAGGGTGTAGGAGGCAGCCGATTGATAGTCTCTCTCATCATTGATGTTTCTATCTCTCTCTCCCTCTCTCTCTTCCTTTCTGAAATCAATAAAAATAAACTTATTATTCACTTCAGGTGTACAGTATAGTGATTAGACATTTATATACCTTATGAAATGATTATCCAGATAAGAATAGTACTCATCTGACACCATACATAGTATGAACAAAAAAGGAATTCTAAAAAAGTAATCTCACAGGGTGATCTGATCATAAATTCCTAACTGGACAAGTCATGATGAGTAGTCACGCCCCAAGCATATAACTTTTTTAGTAAAAGGCTTATCTTTGCCTTAAGCAAGCCCTGTTCATTGTTTTTGTGCATCTAGGTTAATACGTTTTTGATCAAGCAAACCACCCTCAAGATAGCAATAATGGGGCACACTCCCTCCCAGGAGCACTTCGGTGTCTTGCCCTTCCCATTCTCCTTCCCTTCCCCTTTTCCTCCTCTCCTCTCCCCTCACTCCTCCCCCTCTACCTCAGGGCCCCAGGCTCACTACCATTAGCTTCCTCATTCCCAAGCTCCAAAGGCCCTTCCTTTGTCTCTAGAACTTATTTGCTAAGTCCATTTCTTCTAGGAATTACTTTTTCTACCTCTGCAATTTACCCAATAATTATTCTCTTAACAACAGCAACAAAAAAAGACAGCAATTATGGTACATTTACACAATGAAATACTACTCAGCCACAAAAAAGAAGGAAATCTTATCTTTTGTGTCAGCATGGATGGACCTGGAGAGTATTATGATAAGTGAAATAAGGCAGAGAAAGACAAGTACCATATGATTTCACTTATATGTGGAATCTAATAAACAAAATAAACTAACAAACAAGATAGAAAAACTCAGAGATACAGAGAACAGACTGACAGCTGTCACAGGAGAGGGAGGTTGGGAGGCTGGGTGAAAAAGGTGAAGGGATTAAGCAAAGGGGAAAAAAGATTAGAGACAGACAACTGGTGATTATCAGAGAGAAAGGGAGGTAGGACTTGGTAGAAGAAGGTAAAGGGAAGGTAGATGATGATGGAAAAATACTTGACTTGAAGTGGTGAACACACAATACAATATACAGATGATATATTGCAGAATTGTATACCTGAGACATATATAATTTTATTAACCAACTAGAGGCCCCGTGCACGAATTTGTGCACAGGTGGGGTCTGGTCGGCCTGCCCAGATGGAGGCTGATTGGGGCTGGGCTGGCAGGAGGGAGGGGACGTGGGTGGTTGGCCAGCCCCATCCCCAATCAGGGTGGGGGGTCCGATCAGGGGCAGGGCCAGTCAGGGGGAGGGATTGATTGGGGCCCCCATCGGGCCAGTTGGCCACCGCAGTGCGTGTCATAGAGACCAGTCATTCTGGTTGTTCCACCGTTCCGGTCGCTTGGCTTTTATATCTATAGATGCCACCTCAATAAAGTCAATAAAATTTTTAAAATTTCTCTACAGGTCTGGATGTTTCTTACATTGACAGTAGTTATTACAGTATTAGTTTTTAAATTTTCATTTGTTGATTTTTAGAAAGAGAGAGAGCCTGGGCAGCATGGTTCAGTGGTTGAGCATCAACCTATGAACAAAGAGGTCATGGTTCGATTCCCAGTCAGAGCACATCCCAGGCTCCAGGTTCCCAGTAGGGGGCATTCAGGAGGCAGCCAATCAATGATTCTCTCTCATCATTGATGTTTCTATCTCTCTCCCTCTCCTTTCCTCTCTGAAATCCATAAAAATATATTTTAAAAAAGAAAGAAAGGAAGGAAGAGAAACATCCATTTGTTGTTCTACTTATTTATGCATTCATTGGTTGATTCTTGTATGTGCCCTGACTGGGGATTGAACCCACAACCTTGACATATTGGACAACACTCTAACCAACTGAGCTACCCAGCCAGGGCAGTTATTACAATATTATTAACTTTATTTCCTATGCATAAATGCTTTTTTATTAGCAATGCATATTGAAATATTTAAGAGTTTAATGCCATTATATCTGTAAATTATCTTAAATACTTTCCAAAACACTGACCTAAATATGGTAAACATTAATAATTGTTAATGCTAAATGATAGTTATATTACATTCACTTTCCTTTCTATTCTGATTTAAATGATCTTTAATAAAATGATTACAATATTTTAATTAAATAATAATAATGATGAAAATGCCCACTAGCTCCTTTCTCCTTTCACATCCCCAGTCTCAGGCCCCTTTCCTTCCTGTCTGCCGAAGTTCACACCTTCTTGGCTGTTCTCCCTGTTTTCCCCTTGCCACATCAGCCTGTGACATCCTGCCAAAGACATGCCACCTCTTGCCACACATCTCAAGGTTTGGTTGTTTAGAGAAAGGAAGTAGAAATCTGGGGCTTCTCCTACAGTGCCTTTTTAGAATCAGGTTTTGGGTGGTGGTACTGAAGCCACCTGTGTCTCAGCCAGTCAATACTACATACTGTATGGCTAACCCAGAGAAGGAAAGGACTGAGGAAAAATTGAGCATTCTCCCCTGGGACAGGCTTCTGACCTATGCTAAGAAGGAGGCAGGAGGCTGAAGAACTTCCTGCCTCCCAGCCTTTATGATTATTTGATTTGGGGTGGTGAATACACAATATAATATACAGATGCTATATTGCAGAATTGTATACGTGAAACCTATATGCCTGTAAATAAGCAGTGAAGGAGACACATATATAAATGATGCCTTTTGAAGGAACTTTGTGCCCAGTTTTCTCCCCAACAAACTTCTCCCTCTTTAAGCCCTTATCATCCCCCCTCACAGTAGTAATCAATCATCAAGTCCCATCAATCTTATTCCATAAATGTCTTTCAGATTCATCCCCTCCTCTCACTATCCCTCATCACTACCTAAATTAGGCATAGTCATCATTGCTTACTTGGTAATGTTAATGTTACTGTATAGAATGGATTCCTTGTCTCCAGCTTGATCCTCTTCAAAAGAGGCTGCACACTTTGGCCTCAGGGAGTCTTACCTTATTGAATACGGATCTCAGTAGCTGGTACAAATTAAATCAAATCTTTGCAGGCCCTACCTTTCACCTAGAAATGTAACTAAAGTTCCAGCCATGCTCACTCAACTACTTATTATTCACTATTAAGGCCAAGTGGTTTCCTCTGTGACATCCATTGATACACACATAGGTATGTGCCTGGAGTACCCTTCCCCCATAGTAGTTCAACAACTCACCTTTCAGAGCCTTTGTGCACTGCTGGTGGGAATGTAAATTGGTGCAGCCACTATGAAAAACAGTATGGAGGTACCTCAAAATATGAAAAATAGAATTACCATATGATGTAGTAATTATACTTCTGGATATTTATCTGAAA